TGTAGCAAACCGTTATTCAACGAATATCGGTGCAATCGTGCACTCAATCTTGATGATTATTTCTTGTCCGAGGTCTCCAAACTCTTTGCCCCCGAGAGCCCGTAGCAGCGCTACACAAACCCCATTACCCGCATACGCGGTGCGGATCAAATCCGTCACAGACGACGTTACAGTTGTAGCATGAGCAAGTTCATTGTTTGGTCTGCGTGATAACGCGTCAGCCAAAGCATTCTGCCTTCCCGGCTTATACTTCACCTCTAAGTTATATTCCGCAAAGAAAGATAGCCATCTAGCTATCATTTACGAGAGGTAGGGCGACTAAGTCGCCGTGCGTAATGACGCATGATCTGTGTAGATCACAAACGGCTTGGAGCCGAGTAGGTGGACCCTGAACTTGACAAGTGCATACTTCATCGCTAGTAGCTCCTTGTCATGAACTAGGTAGTTCTTCTTTGCAGCTTTGAGCTGTCGAGATTCGAACACGATCACCCGATCCCACCCTCGGCGTCTGCATGCAGCAGTACACAGCCGATGGCAAAGTCCGAAGCGTCACAGACGACGCTGAAAGGACGATCCAGGGTCTAGCAGTGCCAGTATTGGTGCATGCAGGAGGCTATCTTTGACCCCGTCAAAAGCCTCCTGATGTTCGGTGTTCCAACACCATTCCGCAATCGTTTTAAGGAGATTGGATAATGGCCGGGCCGTTTCTGCCTAATTTTCGCTTCACTTGTGCACGTAGTTGGCGAGACCAAGCCACTTACGCAAGTCCTTCTGGTTCTTCGGAATTAGTCAGCCTACAATATCCTTGACCTTAGCAGTATACACTCGAAGGCCACGCTTTCCAATAGAGCACCATAAAAAGAGAATCTCTTCTGCGCCAAAAATGCGCTTGTCTGCATTGTCGTACAGTTTGTTCGTGCGCATGCACTCGAGCAGCGCTCTTAAATGGACGATGTGATTCTCCTCATCTGTTCCTCCCGTGCTCCGCACGACTATGAACGGAAATGTCGTCAAAAGATGTCTGTGCATACCCTGTGGGGGCTGAACAGCTGCGTCACAAGTCGATTAAATGTTCTGGTGCGTTTGACAGCCCTTGGGGCATCGCCAGCCACTCCCAGAGCATGCCGCTCGGAGTGCTCGCCGCTGTTAGCGGAATATCACTCTCTGTCATGAGCAATTGGTAATACTCATCGACCAAGTCGAGTGCACTGTACTTCGTACATCC